TCGCGGAAAAGAGTCAACAATAAGAACTTCGAGAACGATACATTTCGAGTTCGACTTAATGCCTGTTTTTAGATAGGAATATCAAAGAAGATCTATAGTACGATAGAAAGCATATCGAGTTTCATTATGTATGCAATTTAAATTTTGTCGTGGTTTGTCGTTTGTTCGTTTGTTCGTCATGCTCCATCTATATTTCGCATCCATTAATTTCTCGCTATTATGCATTTTTCCTCGCATCTGCAATCGCGCCTGTATCCGCACGAGACAGATACTATAAACGTAAAAAGACATCCTACCGTCTATAGCCAAGGTGTCAAACAGTTTAGAAACATCAAAGAACATGGTATCAGAGGAAACGAAATACGATGATATCTGTTTATCACCTGAATGTATTCACATAGGTGAGTAAAATATGTGGCAAAATTTCAATTTTCTATTTAAATATAATTTTTTAATAAATTTATATAAATATCGTCATACAATTAATAAATATAAATATCCTTTACGTATGCAAAATTACGTACAAGATATTTCATATCTATTATTGTGCATATATAACACGATATATTAGATGTACAACTTAATTCTCGGTCCCTACATTTAATCAATTACAGCACCTATTCAAATTTAATTTTTTTTTCCCATTGTATAGTTGTTTTAAAGCGCTATCTTTTAGCTTTAAAACGAGATTTATAATAATTGACGATGATGCTGTCGTCTATCTCACGTAGCAATAAAATTAAGCGATATCGTTTAAAAAGCAGCACTTAAGGCACTGCCTCTTTTCCACATTTCAACTAAAGAAAAATGCCGCCGAGGCTAAAGAAATTATTTGTTCGGCCTTAAGTGAAAATGCTGTGTTTTATAGTAAAAAAATGATTTCAAAATAAAAAAAAATTGAAGACGAAGAATTGGAACAGCTTTCAGACAAAAATCCTTGTCAGATTCAATCAGAGCTTGCAAGTGCACTTGCAGTGATCCAAAACATTTTGAAACATCTACACAAGCTTTATGTAAATAAACAACATATTATCGTTAAAATGGCCGAAAATTAAATTGTACACCTAATATAATAATCAATTTTCTCCAAAAAATTTTCTTATCATAAATATTTAATTACAAAAATATAAATTTTGATATTTTATACGAGAGAAATTAATGTTATAAATTATTCCGCTTGAACACTAAGAAATTACTATTTCGTTTCGAGGTATCGGATTGTACTAATCTCAACGTATATATATTGCAGCCTCCAAAATAATAAAAAACATGAATCCTAATGTGGAGCCCTGTGATGATTTTTACAAATTTGCCTGCGGTGGCTTCCTCGAATCCAGGATTCCTGACGATAAAACTAATGTATCTACGTTCTCTATTATCGATGATGATCTCAAAAAACAACTACGGCTTAGTATCGAACAGCAGAGTCCTCCAAACGAATTGAGACCATTTAGACTTGTCAAGGATCTCTACAAGGCCTGCATGAACAAAAGTAAGCAACCACGACATGAAATTTTCACTATAAATCGCTAAACTCGAGAAATGCAATAACTGAGTTGATGTTGATGAGATACATTTAGTTGATGAGAACTAAATGTAATTAAAATAACTCAAATCTTGAAAAATCAAAGAGAACAGAGAAAGAAATCACCTCATAGTCAGCATAGTCCAGAACAATGTAAATCAAGATTAAAAAGAATCGCATGTCAAATTTTAAAATCAGTACGAAGATGTAAAAAACTTGAATAATCTATATGACAGATATATGTAATAAATATTTAGACAAAGTGTACAAAGGTTCATGTCACAGTTAACGATAAAATAAAAAATTTTAAAGCGTTGCAGGGCACAGTTATAAACAATTTATATAAACAAAATAATATTATAAATTTTGTAGAACAGACAGATAAGCACTATGTAAATATTCAGTGTTTGATTGCAAATTCAAATCATTAATATTCTGCTGTTGAATATGGAGTAGAGTCAGACACTAAATTTCTTTATTAATATATTTCTTTCGAAATAAAAATATTACTCATAGCTGGAATACTTTAATGCATAACGTGTTAGAAGAATAACTGCATCGTATTTATTTTGTATAAGTCCTTACTTTTAAAGCATTACGTAATATCAATCAAAAAAGAAATGAAAAAACAAACAATCAAAAAAGTTTTATTTTTTATTCTATTTCTAGATGATGTTTTTTTCAGCCGCTATTGAGCAAAGAGGCTTGACACCATTATTGAACAGCCTAAGGAAACTCGGTGGCTGGCCCGTTTTAGACGGGAAAAGATGGAACGAGGACTACTTTACTTGGAATGATTCCGTCTACACATTCCGTAGATTTGGCTATCCCATTGATTACTTCATCAATTTCAGAGTGGATAGCGCCAGGGTTGATTTGAAACATTTGATCAGCGTAAGTAAGTAACTCATCCTAAAATACTGGAATAAATTCGTAACGAAGGTCAATCATAATTTATAAGTAAATCATATGTAAAGTAAAGTAATAATAATCACAGTGATATATATGTATATAAAATAATACATAATTTTTTCTAAGCTGAATATGGCATTTGTTTCCAAGCAGTACAATAAATAAAAATTCATAATTCTTTATAGCTCGATCAAGCATCCTTTGGACTTTCGCACGAATATCTGTCGAATGGTTTTTACGATAAAATTGTCCAGGCATATTACAAGTACATGGTAGACATCGCTGTAATTCTCGGAGCTAATCCAGACCGAGCCCGCATTGAACTAAAAGAATCACTTGAATTTGAAATTAAACTCGCAAATGTAAGTTATTCTTACAGTTATTAATTAATACAAAATAACTTTAAATTAGAGTTTTGCTAA